GCTGTTTCAGACATGCTTATTTCTGATCTGGTTACCTCCTGACAGCTTTTAAGGTTTAGGGGTGGGTATGCCTGGCTACCTAGAACAATTTCCCACCTTGTATATCATGTTTTAACACTTCATTGGTGTGGTTACCAGTTGCTTTTTGCAGGGTTTGTCCCATACATGTCTTACCTCAGTACAGGTGTTTTTCCAGGAGCAACTCAACGGTTCTCACGAAGTGCTCAACTGCGAACAAAAGTACATTAATGTGCTTGCACTTCGCATTCAGGCCACTCCCAGCCGCAGGCTCACACCGTGCATGTTTGACTGGTCCAGCATGATCAATGGCCAGAGCCACTGTGTATGTCCATCAGCTTTTTCATTTCTGCTTTCACTACTCCTTGGAAGTACGTGACTTCACATGTATTTCCTACTAAAACTGACTTCACAAACTTTCCCTTGGACGTGGGGAAAGCACTCTGGTGAATTTGACCATTTTCAGCATTCATATAATTCTGTATGGTGCTAAAATCTACCTTGGGCATTTCCAGCCTCTGACTTGCTCCAAGGCTGATTAGTGCGATGTCTGCAGGCACCAAGACTTGCTGCTCCACCACATTGGTTACTTCAGATTGACCGAAATCATCATTCCTGTCATAGGCGATGAGCCCGTCAACAAGTTCCTGCTTCTTGCCAGGACTGGCTCCTTTCCGACGCAATAGTTTTCTCAGTTGCTCTAAACGAAGCTGCCCGTATCCCCCCCATGATTTCAGCTCGGCCAAAAGATCGGAGAACACGCGCTAAAACAAGCAAAATAATGTTTACATTCAATCCAACCTCTCACTAACAAACTCTTAAGGTCTTCTCAACTTATTGGGCACGAGGTCCACAAAACATCATACCATGAGTGACGTCAGCGCAATATGTATAATGGCACTGTTCCTTTAATGACGTCATTTTACAAAGATATATGCAGTCGCTTCATTTTTGACGCAGTAAAGCGTCAATAACTAGTTTTCAGTGATGGACTTCAAGTCTGCCAGCGCCTCTAACGGCGGAGTTTGTCCCTGGCATGGCCCTTTGAATAACCGGCAAGGATTACACTAGGTAGTATGCTCCGAAAAACGAAATGTTGGCTTAGGTCATCTTAGGTCAATGATCTTTTCTGACCTTTAAGAAGTCTATGGAAGATGCATATTGCGGTTCCTACTGTGAATAAATTCGAAGTGAGCACCAGAAACTATCTCATACAGCAAGTCCTAGAGTAATAAAACAGGCTGGTTTTTACCTTGTTCTGACCTCCATACCTGATCTTAGATCAACGTAATTTGCTCATCCAGTATTTGTGTTGCCTAAGAAAGCATCTCAGAGATGTATGGCTTCGTCAAACACTCCGTTGTTGCATCAGATTGAATGATTCCCTAGAAATTGCCGTCGCTGAAACCATGGCCTGATTTTGACCTGCCATAGGTCAGCGATCTTGGAAGGTACATTTAAATTTTTTATATGAAACGATCCGCTATTCAATTGTCTACGACTTTGCAAAATTTTGCGCGGGTATGCCACGCCGTTCGGAAACCATTCTGGCAAAACCTTTAGGGGGGTCAATTTGAACCCTCACCCCCACCCGAGCGCGTGTTAAAATTCATGGCTGCTCCAATCATCATGCATTTTAATGCCACACACTCTATGGGTCGCTAGAAGAGTAGTCCTGATGTCACAAATGAGGAGAGTGCATGCTCTGATTCCCATTTGTGTGGCCCTAGACGTGCTAAACCACCCCTTGCTTTCCGTGAGAGGGGATGAACAAATCCAGCTGTTGTCGCATGAAAAACTTGTCAAACATTTGCAGTCCGGCCTCACATATGGAGGACTTGACCTCACAAAACCCTTAGACACCTACTGGCTGCTATTTGGTGCGCAATAATAACCGGGAGGTCGATAAGACAGTAGTAATAGCCGTATTCCTCGGAGAAAAACAGGAGAGTGGGCATATGGATGGGTTGATATGTCAGCAACATGCCTTTATCGAAACCATAGCAGAAGACAGCTTCTGCTATTGTTTCGATGTAGGCATGTTGCCGAAATCTCAACCCATTTATGTTGAGAAGAAGCTATATTCTGCTAATGCTTCGATAAACGCATTTTGCCGAAATTTCAACCCATCTTTGTCTCTATTCTCCTGGTTTTTCTGAGAAATAAGGCTACTACCGCTGTCTTATCCATGTAATTAACGTACCTCACAAATGCACTTACCAACTTAAGTAATTTAATAACCGGAAGGTCGCTGCAGAGCTATTGGTAGAGCGCTAGACTCGCAATGAAGACAATCCTGGTTCGAATCCCAGTAATAACAAAGAGAGAATTCTGGGTATGACGTACATGGCTGACAGCCAAGCACCATCCAGTCACTCTCAGCACTCCGTGCCACCTGACGACGGCCGGTGAGTTAGCTGTCCGAGACGTTATGTACACACTAACACGCAAGACCAGAACGACAGTTCAAACAATTATTTCATCCGGGAAGCCGACTTACTTCCATCGCTTTTGCAGCTTTGCTCTGGCAAGCGGGGGTGGAGCACTTCGCTGACTGAATCAACCCGTGGACTGTGGATCAATCCATGGATTGTGCACCAGTCCGTGGATTGTGGATCAGTCCGGGGGCCGGACGGGACCGGATCAGAATGTCGACCAAAACATGGAATAGGACCGGAAACGATTTTCAAATCTGCAAGCTCACACAGATTCAGCAGATTGAAAACAAACCAAATGCACATTAAAATTGGATTAAATAGATTAGATAGATAAAATTAGATAGATTAGAAGTTGATGAGAGTAAGTGACACTTATGCGTGTCACTGTGGAAAACTAGGTCTCTCCTTCCAAAGTGACTAGAATGTCTGATAATATAATACAATCGTCGATCTTATCCTAACATAATTATGATTCTTCCTGATCTTGCTAGCAATCCCGTTTAACTTAAGTGTGTGACATTCAATTTCAGAGTTGGAAAACTGGGCAGGAGCATGTTTTGTTGGTAAAAGCGTATCACAGAGTTGTGATGCCCACCTCCTGTCTGAGAAATGTCAAAAGCGATTTATTCCATGTCGACACTATACTTTGTCTCTCTAGTCAGTCAACCAATCTTATGAAGTTGACACTAGCTTTGAGTTAAGTATGCTACCTTAGTTGATCAATTTCCAGGTGTCCGTCAGAACAGAGATTATTGCATTCAATCTATCTTACAGTATGAGCATGTTGGTTTATACAGCCAGGGACTAAAGGTTAAGTTTCTCACCCAGCAGTAGCTGCTTGATGTGAGTTAGGTACTGTTTGCATACAGTCAGAAACTTTGGTATCAGGTAGGTACTTATTGCTTTGGGTCCTGTCTCTTCTTTTCTCACATGGGAAAAGCGTGCACAAATTGGACCCCAACAATGCATTGGTATACCTGTCTAAAATGTCTGATGATATGATATTTTACTGCTTACATTACTTTATAATGCAATGGTTAAAAAGTTCAATGCAATTTCTACAGAAAGTCAGAAGAAGTAACGTGTGTAAACTGCCAGCAAAGACTTTTCATTCACACCTCAAATGAAGACTTGATAAGATTTGGAGCAGCTTGTGCGATTACTCGAACCTTTGGCAAGTGGCTAGCATGCATATGAGATGTTAAAGTACCAGTGGTCACGGGAGATGTAGGATGACGGGCAAAATGCTTCGACCTCTTCCGCGTTGTTTTATGTATGTATATATATATATATATATATATATATATATATATATATCTGTGTGTGGGTGTGTATGTGTGTGGGTGTGGGTGTGGGTGTGTGTGTGGGTGGGTGTGGGTGTGTGGGTGTGTGTGTGTGTGGGTGTGGGTGTGGGTGTGTGTGTGGGTGTGGGTGTGGGTGTGTGTGTGTGTGTGGGTGTGTGTGTGTGTGTGTGTGTGTGTGTGTGTGTGTGTGTGTGTGTGTGTGTGTGTGTGTGTGTGTGTGTGTGTGTGTGTGTGTGTGTGTGTGTGTGTGTGTGTGTATGCGGTACTCACGGTGCACAAGAGACGTTGCGCACTTGGTGGCGTATAGCTTGATCCATGGAGAGCAAGCCCAGTAATCAATTACGGATAAGTTAGGGTCGTAGCCTGCAGCGTTCAGTTGCTCAGGTTGCAATGCTTGTCGCAGGTCACGGAAGACAACCTCGACGAACGGCCTCTGCCGTGACAACTGTCTCCTGTAAAAGTAGACCTTAATCCAGTAGCTGCCCGCGATATTTGTGCGTGCGTCTTGTGGTCTTGCGTTCTGGCGATCTGTGATTAGGTTTGGATTGCAACATCGCAAGGCCAACTACGCGTAAATTAGATTTTCCGGAAAAGTGTCGCAGTAGAGCTATAACCAATCAAAAGCTTGAGTGTGCCGTTGAAGCCATGGCTGAAATAATACCGAACAACCGAACATACCGTTGGAGGCAATACTGTTAAAGCCATATCAAAATCATTAAAAATCGATATATTGTGCTGGATCTTGAGTTTCGAGTCCGTATTAGCTCTGAGTTCTTATAGCTTAATGACCATCGAAGAATTACACTGACCCTGTCGTACACTGATTCGCGAGCTGCGGGAAATCTTCGCGAGCAGCGGCGTTCTGACCGTGGTCCACAGCGACGGCGGGCCTCAATAATAGGGACGCATCACGCGAAACTTTGTCCGGCTGTGGAGTGTCAACCATGAGACATCTGCGTCACACTACCACCAATCCAATGGGCACGCTGCGGCGACCGTCAAAGCCGTCAGTGGCTCCTCCGAAGTCGCAGCGTCTGGCGACCTCGACACCGACGCATATGCCCGGGGCTTCCTCGAGCTGCGGAATATTTCGCCAGCTGACGGTCGGTCTCTGCTCGGACCGTCTACGGACACACCCTGCGCTCGGCCGTCCCGGCGCATCACTGTGCGTTTGCCTAGCAGTGGCAGGCCGCTGATCAAGAGGACCCCAGCCTGACGGCGCCACTCCCTCGCGCCGCAGTCAGCGCCAGCGTCGTCCGCCGCAGCAGCTGACCGTGACCACGTGTGCTGCCTCCCACGCCCCATAGCCAACAAGCGCTGACCTTATGCTTAATTCCAGGACGTGCTTGTCTTATGTGCTCCCGGTGAGGAGTTATGTCCCGAGTGTGAGGCGTCTTCCCCATGACTCTCGCCTCTTCCGAGTATCTTAGCTCTAGGGACGGGGCGCGAGTGTCAGGTCACGCCATTCGACATGAGTTATGTTTTTGTACCTCGACGTACCTTCGGCGCTGAGCACGCGCGGAACACAATCGATATTCGGGCGAGTTCTGCCAGGTCGGGGCACTCGGAAGTGGAGGCGCCCGTCCCCCTTTTGTACGTTCGATGAACGATGAACGGCACCTTTTTCGTTGATCGCCGGGATTTGATTTGCCAACTATTTTATGGTGAATTACACCACACTCCAAGCTTTGCCGAAAAATTTAACTTAACATTGTTTCTAAATGGGAAGTTGTTCTTCCACATCAAAGCAATTTTGAAAGCAACAAGACATCGCAACAAAGTTTTCCTCCAAATGTCAGCATCGGGAGGAAATTAAAGCGGACACCATCGTGGGAGAAATCAGGTTATGGGGAAGATTAGGCAAAGCTTATCGGCTCAGCCCCAACTGATTTTAAAAGGCGGCACACCTGGCCATGGCCGACATCTATGCACGCAGCAGGGACTGCATGCGGTGCGGAACACGCGCGGAACACCGCCGATGTTCGGGCGAGTTCTGCCAGATCGGGCACCCGGAAGGGGAGGCGTCCGTTCCCCTCGGAGCCGTTACTATTCGGGCGAGTCCTGTCAGCTCGGGGGACCCGTTCCCCTCGGAGCTGCTACTACTCTGGCGAGTCCCGCCATGTCGGGGCGCTCGGAAGTAGAGGCGCCCGTCTCCCTCGGAGCCGCCACTGTTCGGGCGAGCTCCGCCAGGTCGAGGCACTCGGAAGCGGAGGTGCCCGTTCCCCTCGGAGCCGCTTCTATTCGGGCGAGTGGTCCTCAAGACGCTGGATTACCGTGATCGGTCACAAGTCTTAGGCGGATAGGAGGCGCTGATTGCCGCAGATTGTTTGCCCGCTCGGTGAGCTGATTTGGGGTCGAAGCGCTTCCGGGGTGACGTCGCTGCAGCAGTTCTTGGGCCATTTTACACATCCGGACGCCTTTAGTGGGTGATCAGAATTCCCTACCGGCGGGCGCATTAGCTCCCGAAAACATTACACTCGCTAGCCCGCGACCTGAGCTCATTCTCAGCAGGAATTTAGATGACAAAGCACAAAAGCTTCTCTGAAGAGAACCCCTCGTTATATAATGCTTGCAAATGTTGGCAGACACTAACGGCAGGATGCTTCCAAGAACAAGAAACTTGTACAGGACTTTTGATAAGTCATTGCTATTTGGCAGGATTATGTTATTAACTTCTTGTTGTATTAGTACTCTACTTACATCAGTCCATGTCGATGTCGTTTGTTCTTTGTCGTGCGCATTTTGGGAAATGCAGTATTCATTACATAACACGCACTTGCTTACCTGATCAAAGAAAACGTGTCTGTGTTTGTCTGGGCTTATTGGGAAACACCGAATGAGGAGCTACTGGATTAAAATGGCATGACCTGGAGATACAGGATCAGCCATACTGCTGTACTGACATCGGGTCATAGTCCTTTGAGATAGAATCTCCTGGCATCAACACGCGCCCTTAGTTTCTCTCTTACTTACGCTTGCTTGCCTTCAGGGTATTCATACTTTCACGCTTACTTTGTTGCGAATGGGTGACTTGGCCGAGAAAGTCAGGCTGCTGCTTGAAATATCGAGGCTCGCTCACACCGTGGGAGGCGGGCCGCAACGGACACAGCAAAAAATGATAGTGATGTCGGTACCAGCAAAACATATCTGATCTAGGCGGCTCTCATGTGCATCTGTACTGGTGTCCGCAAGGTGCCAACACCAGAGTTTTGGAAGATTTTGCGATATCTGCTCCTAACATTGCATTCATTGCATACATGCTATGCCTGCCTTGAAAGGAGTGTTCCACGTTTGTATCGGGTTTCGAATTAAGCTAAACATCTTAAAGAACATTTGGTGTGGTTCACAGTTCTGCCCTTCTTATGATCTAAACCCTTAGCTACGCGACGCGAGGATGTGCAGACTTTTTCTGGAAGACTATTTCAAGGTCACTCATGCTTCTGTATATGTTATAATGGCATTCAAATCCTGTCATTTCATTACTCATGCGGCGATCAAGGCAAAAACGATGTGATGGTCGAATCGTTCATATCCGGCGTTCGTGTGGAGATTTCCAGATAAGACGGCCGTTAGTTGTCTGGCAATTTGCATTGTGCATGGTATGATGATGTTATCAAATAATGACTTAATGAGCAGCATATTTACTGAACAGAGAAACTGTGTTGTCTATAGCGGTTTTTCCACTTAAAAGTGTATCATTGGTGACAATCGTACACTTTAATAGCAATTCTGGTCGGGTCTGACTTTTGGGGATGGGTGGCCCAAACCACGCCTTGATTTATTTTCCTAATGGCATGATGTTGGGGATTCGCCTCAGCTATGTTGCCTTTTGTTCACATGTCTCAACACGCGCTCGGGTGTCAAATTGACCCCCCTCCCGAAGGTTTCTCAGGAATGGTATCCAAACGGTGCGAGTAGCCGCGCCAAATTTCGCATAGTTGTAGACAATTGAATAGCAGATAGCTTGGTATCAAAAACATAAATGTACGCCGTAAAGTCTCTTGCCTACGGCAGGTCAAAATTAGGCCATGGATTCAGCAGTCAGTTTTAAGGAAATCGTTCGATATGATGCAACAACGAAGTGTTAAACGAAGCTGTACATCTCTGAGATGCTTTCTTAGGCAACACAATAATTGAATGAACAAATCCATTGACCTAAGTTCAAGATTAAAGGTCAGACCGAGATCAGAGCCAGCCTGTTTTATCACGCCAGGGTTTGTTGTATGAGGTAGTTTCTAGTGCTCATTTCGAATTTATTACTAACAGGAACCGCATCAACATCATCCACGGACTTCTCAAAGGTCAGAAAGGTCACTGACCTAAAATGGCCCAGGTCAACATTTGATTTGTTTACCATACTGCATGGCGAAATCTTTGTCGCTTATCCAAATGCAAAATTCAGAGCAGTGTCGCATAAATTTGGAAACTTTGACTTCCAAAAGGTCAAACAAGGTAACCGACCTTTAATAAGCATGTGACCTTTTGCTTTGAAGGGGTATCTAGTTTCTGGGGGCACTTTGGAGACCAACCTGGAGTTCGATGTAGTTTGATCTTATCTGACCCAAAGGTCATAGTCTAGGAACCTCAAAATGTGACATAAATGAGATCATATATAGGCCAACACATCCTGTGAACTTGGTGTCTCTAGGTCTCTTAGTTACTGAAATCTCTGTGGGTCAAATTGACTCCCCTCCTCCACCTGAGCGAAGGTGTCCCGACCGGCCACCCGGGTGCGCGTAAACTCATCAAACCCATTTTCCTCAGCTTGTACATTTAGCTCTCGCCTATCGGGGCACCTTACAGACACAGATATTAAATAAAGCATGCTGATCCTTTCAGAAGCTGACTTCATGACGCTGTTACCTACCCTGTCAATCTTTTAACACTTTTTCCAGTAGGTCGTGACCTGTCGTACATGTATGGAGGTCACGTCAGTAAAGTTTCTCACCAAATCGACAATGTTGTTCTCAAGATTTGATCTGAACGTATTGAACAGATGGATTTCTGGGCCAGAGATCTCGCTAAGCAGTGCTTGTCGTATGAATTCGGACCCCTGTCATCCAATCGCATAATTCCAAGTCAATAACCGAACCTAGTGGCAAAAGTTGAACGTGCCGCAATACTCGCACGGACCACGCCACCCTCTGAAGTCACCTGACCTTTAGCGCGGTCGCTGACACCGGCCGCGGGCCATATCTGCAAAGGGCGAATAATGAACGCCTAAAGCGGCTGGAACCCACCCCGCTACGGATGGGTGGTTTGGAAGGGAGGCGCTCTACCCAACTGAGTCATCGAGACGGCATTGCAGCGCAGGACTTACAATACGGTTCACTTGTTGGCAGTTGGGATATGTGGCCGGTTTTAGTATAAATGTAATTGATTTCGACGTCAGTGGTATCAGGCCTGTTTGTGTCTGTGGGTGGGTGGTCAGTGTATCAGAGGTCAAGCGATGTCAGACTTGGCCCATCGCTCATTTATGCGATATTTATGGAACCTACCTTTGCAAGAATGTTCTGTTGGAGGTACATCACAGGTACTTCATGTTGACAGATACCGTGCGACCAATGGCAATGCGTTTGCTCTATTTAAGTCATTCTGGAAGAGAGAAATGCCAACAGGTAAATACCGCCAGGCATATTTTGCGCCGTGGTTGGTCCATGTATACTGTATTGTTAATTTTCGTTTTTTGCAACTAATTTGGCTTGTGGTTTTTTGTATGCAAGTCGCACTGTTCTTTCAAATGTCAAGACAGCTCTTGATCTTAAATTATAAGTCTCTGCATGCAGCATCTATCCTGCCATGTTATTGCCTGCGAATCGTGGCTGCCTTTGACATACGTGATTAGTACAGTTTGACGGGGTTGTTCAGCCTCCTTCTACATTACGTAGCATGACCATTTCTTCTTGCATTATAAAATGCACTGCAAACTCTGTGACTTCGTTTGACCTGGCACAAAGCTTTTACAAGATGTCAGATATAAGTCATCCAAAAAATGTTCGTCAGATTGCGTCGAATATTGTTCGCCTGGTCGTCGTAGTGCGGTTATTTTTCATGTGACAGATATTGGATATATTTCATTTCATAATCAAGTTTGGCATTGACCTGCCAAAAACAAATGTATACGATCCGTATTGTCAACCAATAAAATAGTGTCAGAATCGAAATTATGTTTTTTCCGAGGAGTGTAGCATATATACCAACAATGTCTACCAATGCGTGCGTGACCCCAGAACAAACGCACCTATTGTCATCTGGTCAGCCCGACCCGTGGC